GAAAAAATGAAAATCTTTTGGTATTACTTCACCTTCTTGCCTTCCTTCAAGATCAGATCCTGACGCTTCCTGGTCAGGTCCCTCCCGCAGTCATTTGCAGTGTCTCCAACCACGCTGTGGACTTCTGTACCTCTGTGTCTTTGCCCCTGCCTTGCCCTCTGCCTAGAGTGCCTTCCATGGCCTCCCCTCCCCTCTGCCTGCTTCTTCACCTGCCTTAGCTGGTACTCCTTCCTCAGGAGGTGTTTCCCCTCTGCACGGCCTACTCTAACACCCGCCTGACTTAGATGTTCCTCTTCTGTTGTCCTGTACCCTGGATAGCTCCCTCATAGGTGATACAGCCTCATGCTGCATCTGTGGTTTGTGTCTGTTTCTTCCATCAGGCTGGGGAAGCATTGAAAGCACAGATTTTGCTTATTCATCTTTATGCCCAGTGGACTTCTTTTGTATACAGGGTTCTTAACAAATACTTACTGAGTAGATGAATGAAATCAGCATATGTCTAGAGACTATTCAGTGTATCCAGTATAGTTTAAATAAACAGTTTAAAAAGCACCATCCCCTACCCCAAGTTCAGTCTTACCTGTCCCTATTACAATTTGAAATCCATAGTGCCCGATCCTGTAAGTTTCCTGGTTTTACCAGAAGATTTTCGTATCATTTCTTGTCCCTTGGGCTTGTCGATATCAGGAACATTGCAAATACCAGATTTTGTCCCTTGTCTGATAGGACCTGCAGAAGACCGTTTGCTGTGGGTCCCTTTTCGAGATGTTGTGTTATCTGATACACTGACAGGCACACACACAATAATAATATCCCTCCATCTAGCTTGTTCTTTCTCTCTACCCCAGCTTTACCCCCCCCGGTTCTAACAGATCTGTTACTATACAGGCATACCTAGGAGATATCGCGAGTTCAGTTTCAGACCACAGCAATAAAATGAATATTGCAATAAAGCGAGTAGCACAAAGTTTTTGGTTTCCCAACGCACATAAAAGTTATCTTTACACTATACTGTAGTCTATTAAGTGTACAATAGTATTATATGTAAAAAACTGTACATACTTTTAAAATACTTCATTGCTAACAAATACTATCATCTGAGCAAACCGTAATCTTTTTGCTAGTGGAGGGTTTTGCCTCAGTGTTGATGGGTGCTGACTGATTAGGGTGGTGGGTGCTAAGGTGCGGGGTGGGGCGGGCTGGGACAGTTTCTTAAAATAAGGCATCAGTGAAGTTGGCCACATTGGTTGACGCTCCTTTCACAAACAATTTCTCTGTAGCAGGCAATGCTGTTTTATAGCATTTTACCCACAGTAAAACTTCTTTCAATATTGGAGTCAATCCTCTCAAACCCTGCCACTGCTTTATCAACTAAGTTTATGTAATATTCTAGATCCTTTATTGGCATTTCAACAGTCTTTACACATCGTTGCCAGAAGTAGATTCCATCTCACGAAACCACTTTCTTTGCTTATCCATACGAAGCAGTTCCTCATCTGTTCAAGTTTTATCATGACATTGCAGCAATTCAGTCACATCTTCAGCCTCCCCTTCTAATGCTAGTTCTCTTGCTGTTTGCACCACATCTGCAGTTGTTTCCTCCACTGAAGTCTCGAACCCCTCAGAGTCATCCATGAAGGTTGGGATCAACTTCTTCCAAAATCCTGTTCATGTTGACATTTTGGCCTCTTCCCATGGATCACGGATGTTCTTAATGGTGTCTAGAATGGTGCATCTTTTCCAGAAGATCTTCAAGTTATTTTGCCCAGATCCATCAGGAGAATTGCTATTTATGGCAGCTGTAGCCTTATGAAATGTATTTCCTAAATAATAAGACTTGAAAGTTGAAATTACTCCTTGATCCATGGGCTGCAGAACGGATGCTGTGCTAGCAGGCGTGAAAACAACATTAATCTCATTGTACCTCTCCATCAGAGCTCTTGGGTGACCAGGTGCATTGCCAATGAGCAGTAATAATTTGAAAAGAATCTTTTTCTCTGAGCAGTAGGTCTCAACAGTGGTCTTAAAATATTCAGTAAACCATGTTGTCGACAGATGTGCTGTCATCCAGGCTTTGTTGTTCCATGCGTAGGGCACAGGCAGAGTAGATTTAGCGTAATTCTTAAGGGCCCTAGGATTTTCGGAGTGGTAAATAAACATTGGCTTCAACTTCAAGTTGAAGTCACTGGCTGTATTAGCTCCTAAAGAGCGTCAGCCTGTCCTTCGAAGCTTTGAAGCCAGTCATTGACTTCTCCTCTCTAGCTATGAAAGTCCTGAATGACAGCATCTTCCCAATATGAGGCTGTTTCCTCTACATGGAAAATCTGTTGTTTAGTGTAGACACCTTCATTAATGATCTTACCTAGATCTTCTGGGTAACTTGCCACAGCTTCTACCTCAGCACTTGCAGCTTCACCTTGCACTTTTTCCTTATGGTTATGGCTTCTTTCCTTAAACCTCATGAACCAACCTCTGCTAGCTTCAAACTCTTCTTCTGTAGCTTCCTACCTTCTCTTAGCCTTCATAGAATTTAAGAGAGTTAGGGCCTTGCTCTGGGTTAGGCATTCACAACTTGGCTAACTGTTGCAAGAGGCCTTGCTTTTGACCTATTTTGGCTTTCAACACGCCTTCCTCACTAAGCTTAATCATATCTAGCTTTTGATTTAAGACGAGAGACATGTGACTCTTCCTTTCACTTGAACACTTGAGGCCAGTGTAAGGTTATTAATTGGCCTAATTTCCATATTGTTGTGTCTTAGAGAATAGGGAGGCCCAAGAAAAGGAAGAGAGATGGGCAGGGTGGGGGGGTGGGGGGTGGGAGTGGCTAGCAAGTGAAGCAGTCAGAGCACATTAAGTTCACTGTCTTATATGAGTACAGTCTATGGTGCCCCCAAATAATTATAAGCAAAGATCACTGATCAGAGATCATCATAACAAATAATGGATAGCACCTAATAACAGATAATGAGAAAGTTTGAAATATTGTGAGAATTACCAAAATGTGACACAGACACACAGTAAGCAAATGCTGTTGGGAAAATGGTGCCAGTAGACTTGCTCAATGCAGGTTTGCCACAAACCTTCAATTTGTAAAAATGAAATATCTGTAAAGTGCAGTAAAATAGGTATGCTTGTACTCTCTACCCGTTAGCTGTACTAAATCTATAAGACTCCAAATGTGATCCTCAAAGAGCCCACTGAGTGGCAGGAAGTCTCTCAAAAAGCAGTCCCATAGTTGGTGACTTCATGTACGTCAGGCTTGGTTTGGGAACTCCACTAGTACAAAGAAAATGGCTGAGAAGTTTGTTTTTTAATGACTCCCCCAGAAGCAGAGCTAGAACCTAAGAGATTTTCCAATCCCTTCTGGGCTCCTGGGCTGGGCATCTCCAGACCCTCTGGAGGGCTGCTTAGTTCTCGTCATTAGGATCTCCAGGGGTGAGGGGCAGCCGCCTCTTATAGCCCACTTCCCTGTTCTGCTACCCTGTCGTGACACTGTTGCCTTTGTTAGTGTCTACTGAACACCTTCTCTGTGCCAGATCCTCGGGAGCCATGAATGAAATACACCCTTGGTCTCAAGACCAGAAGGGCACAGTTGCTATCATGAGCTAATTAAGTGCACTGACAGATGGATGCCCGGTGCTGTAGGAGCCAGTCCCTCCTGATGACTGATGGAGATCTCTCCTCAAACGCAGGCCCAGTTCACCCTGCTCACTCCTCTGCGGGCAAGGAGACTCAGAGGCTCAGTTCCCAACACCATCCACCTACTAAGAAATAGTCACGAGTTATCCATCGGCCTCCCTCTCACAGGATCAACCTCTTCATCATCAGGAAGGTCACTTCTGGGTGCAGGAGATGGTAGGAAGTAGCCCACTCCCTATGTTCCTGCCGGCTGCTTTACAAAGGAGCAGAAGAGCTGCCCTGCCAGGCCATGGTCCAGGGCCCTCCTTTCTGTTACATGCCACTGCAACCCTTAGCAGTCCGTCTCCCAGCTCCCAGAGCAGCCAGGAGGAAAACCAAGCACACCGTTGGCTTTCTAAATACCGCCTTGCTTCCCCCGATGACTCGTATGGGTTTGCATGAGAAGACTTGTTAGGACTATTTGTTCTACAAGGCGGGCCCTCAGATGACCAAAGCCTGGCTCCCTGGGTCGGCCTTAGGGTTAGGGAATCAACTCTTCATACTTGCTACTTACATTAGCCTGTGCAGTTTTACAATTGGTGCTTGGTCTCTGAAGCCTTTTAAGAAGTTTTATTTGAAGACAGTAGTGATGAACCTAATCCCAAATGTAGAGAAAAAAAAAATGTTTCCTGGGAAATGCCTGAGAATTGCCAGGTGTTTTTATAGAGCCCAGGAAAGAGAGAGGAACAGGGAATGAAGAAAAATAAGAAACAGTAGGAATTTCATACACGTGCTGAGCGTGTGATCAAAGACATGGTCACTGTCTTCGGTAGGAAGGGGCAAGTAGGAAATAGACAAGACAAGGCATGAAAACCAGCCACCTGTCTCTCCTCTGCCACTGCCGCCTTCTCCAGGGCCCTTCCCTAGCTTCTGCTCCTGAGGGACGGTCAGAGGCAGGCTCTGAGGATGGGAGACTGACGTACTGTGTGGGATGGGGCCTCGGATCTCCTTGTCCTTATTTTTCAGGCCTGCAACCCTCCCACCCACCTAACTCAGCCTCCACTATACAGTTGAAGGAACTGGGGCCCAGGGAGTGAGGTGATTTACCCCTTATCTGACAGCCCGTTAGGAGCATGGCCAAGCAGTCATGTGCAGACTTGAGGAAATGGTGTCTTTGTTTCTGGACTTTAAAAGGATGTTAAAATGAGAACATCTTATTGGATTGGAAATGTAACAGACTTGAGTGAAAAGATATGTGAAAACGTTACAAAGCCAGTGGCGTCCCTAGGTGTGACACAACTGAAAACTAAAGTGTTGGGCAAGTGGGACGTTGTCCTTAGTGTGACTGTACCCCTTCCCTACCCTCTCTGTTGTCCCTGTAGGCCGCCAGCTCACTGGAGCCGAGAGGGCCTCCACGGCCACTGCAGAGGAGACGGACATCGATGCCGTTGAGGCCCCGCTCCCAGGGAATGAGGCCCTGGAGTTCAGCCGAGGTGTGACTGACCTCGACGCGGTAGGGAAGGAAGGAGGCTCCCATACAGACTCCAAGGTAAGCCGGAGGTGGCCCACCCAGGCGGTCTGCACGCATGCCACCTCCCAGAGCAGTCTGTGTCACAGCCTCAGCCACTGTCGGTCACCTCTTAGCGCCTGCTGGGTCACCTTTAGGGTGAGGCGCTCCCCAGCACCGTGGTGGTTCCAGAGCACGTTTTACTTCCTTTCAGAGGGGCCTGACTTCTAGAGATTCAGTCCCCGTGTGTTGATGCTGGACGCTGCTGCGTGTCAGGATGCCACAGAGCTCATTCCCGATGCGTGCCACCCTCCAGGGTCCCATCAGCACTGGGTCCCCTTCTTCCCAGTGGAGGCCCCACCTTGAATGGCACCTTGTCGCTGCACAGTACCTGTGCATGGCTAATCCTTGCACAATGTGACATGATCCCCGGGGGCTCAGCTGAAGGAGCAGAGTGAGTTAGGGCTGCCTCTGCCTGCAGCTAGGGGTTGTGTGCCTTTGATGCTCCTGGGGAGGCTGGAGATTGGCCCCTTGGAGGTTAGAAACTGCCAGACCACCTCAGGCGTCAATTTCAACCTCGTATCTTACGGGTGAGATGATGGCCGCCCTCAAGGAGTTCCTGATAGGATCCAGGTTAAGAAACTAAGAACCTCCAACCCAAAGACAAAACAACCCCCCCCCCGCACCCCCCTCACCCCTGCCAACAGGAGGAAACTACTGACAAATTCCCCTTCCTGTAGATTCCCTGCCAGTTGCCTGTATCAGGAGTGCCTCTCTTTCCTCACCATGCAATGCCTTTTCTCAAGTGGAAGTCGTCGGGCTAGTTCATCAGAAAGAGAAACCTGTCTCGTTTGAAGGGCAATGTTGTTCCCGATTGTCTGCCTGATATCTTCTTTGGTGCCCAGTTTGTACTCTGCAAGTGGCAAAAGCCCTCTGTCACTGGGTGCTTCCTCTTGCACGTCGGAAAAAGGACCAGCAGCAGAGCTGCCAGAAATCAAATTCAACCCTGTGCTTGAATTCTCTGGCTCACAGAAACCGTCTTAATGAAAGTGTCCAACTACCGGGAGGGAGACAGGAGGGAAGGGAATAGAAACTGCTTTCCCCTTTCAGAGAGAGGATCTCTCCAGACCACTGTCTGTGTCCCGACTTGCTTCCCTGGTGGCTCTCACTGTGAGAGGAGGCCGTGCTGGGCTGGAGCGCCTCCCTCACCTGTGGCCAGCCCAGGAGAACCCTGCAGAGCCTGGAAGAGGGAGCCCTAAGAACACAACAAAGTAAAGGTAGAAGCCGCCCCGTAGTGGGGTGATAGGTAGCTATCTTTCATAGAGACAGATCCCTCCAAGTCCAGAACCTCAAGTGACTCAACAACATGGTATAGTTGGAAGCTATGGGCAAGTGATAGGATGATCTCAGCTGCCTGGTCTCCCATCACATGGCATCAGTAACTCAGGTGTCCAGATAGGGTTTTCTGACTCTGTGGTCCCAGCCCAGGCCATCAGATCATCATCTCCTCTGTGGGAGTCTGTCCACATTTCCGCTGAAGACGTAGCATTGCGGCTTCCCGGGTAGCACAGTGGTTAGGAATCCGCCTGCCAATGCAGGGGACGCAGGTTCCAGCCCTCGTCCGGGAGGATCCCACATGCCGCAGAGCAGCTAAGCCCGTGCGCCACAACAGTAAGCCTGCGCTCTAGAGCCTGAGAGCCACAACTCCTGAGTCTGTGTGCCACAACTACTGAAGCCCACGTGCCTAGAGCCCGTGCTCTGGAAGGGAGGCCACTGCCATGAGAAGCCCGCACAATGAAGAGTAGTCCCGCGACTAGAGAAAGCCCACGCACAGCAATGAAGACCCAGTGCAGCCAAAAAAAAAAAAAAAGACGTAGCATTTCCAGCTCTTGGTTAAAAGCGGGCCATTTCACCCCACCCTCCTACACGCTAAAGGCAGACTCCTAAAGGTGGCGCCTGCCCAGGGTCACGCCGTGTCTCCTCTTCTCCACCAGGTCTCAGCCCGCCCCCAGGAGCCCATGCTGACAGCCTCGCCCAGGATGCTTCTTCCCTCTTCTTCCTCGAAGCCCCCGGGCTTGGGCGCGGGCACGCCGCTGTCCACCCAGCACCAGATGCAGCTCCTCCAGCAGCTCCTCCAGCAGCAGCAGCAACAGACACAAGTGGCTGTGGCCCAGGTTCTCCTCAGCCTCCTCCCTACTTCGCAGGCTCCACTCTCATGGGCTTGACGCGCCTTCCTTAGCGAGGGGCACAGGGCAGGTTTACAACCTAGCGAGCTGTGAGGGATGGCTCCCGCTGTTGGGTCGTTGCTTGTTGAGCAATGGGGGCGGCAGGGATGGGAGAGATGGGGGACGCGGTAGAAATGGGAAGAAGTGTTTTGGCTTCCCGTGTACCCCCGCTCTGAGTTGGGCTTGGCTGGCTTGGCTGGATGTTGTTGGATAATGATTTGAACTGACTAAGGAACAAGATGCACATAATTTCACCCTTCCTTTCCTACCTTCATTTGCTGGTGTTTGGGGTGGGAAGGGACGCCTCTGGAGTCAGGACAGATGTGACTTTGTGATACCACTCTTAAAAGAGTTTAAAGTGTGAATTTGTCCCAAACACCCTTGCAGAAGCCACCACCCTGGAAACCTCGTCCATAGGGATTTCCATGCCTCTGTTAGTCATGTACGCATTCCAGGAAGGATTTTTTTTTTTTTTTTAAAGATTTCTCCAAGCAGAATTTGATACCATACTGGCCTGGAGTTCATTATATTGGGATTTAACTGACAGGAACGTAGGCGTAGTATTTGAGCCATAATGAGAAGACTTGGCTTAGATTTCAGGAGCCAAGTGCTGTGTGAGCCCTGAAGACGTGTTGCGCTGCTGCTGCTTTAGAAAGGAGGGGTGAGCTGATTTCCCTGCTGCTCTTAGCAGGGATGCCTCTCGCTTGCTTTCTGTGCAGGGCATGGTAGAGTCCACATCTTCCTTGGAACTTGTGAGTCCGAGCTTCATCTTCTCTATGGGCCATCGGGGAATAGTGAAGACACAATCATTTGTACCGTTTACAGGCTGAATTCTGTGGTAGGAGTCAGACAGGGTGAGGACCTGGGTGGGTAGGTGCTGACAGTGAGGAGGAAGGTAGGGTCTTCAGGCTTTGGAGAGTTGGTGAGAGATCAGGAAAGGCAGCTCTATGCATCGACATTCTATGTCTGGTCAACCAGGCTGGCCTTCTGCGTTCTTGAATGAGAACACGAAGACTTCTCTAGGGAGCTCTTATCGATCCTCATCGTTTCTTCTCCTTACTCATCTCGTGACCCTTGGGTGGAGTGAACCACCCAGGCGGAGCCGTCCTTTCCAACACATACCCCTTGAGGAAGCAGCCAGCAGCCCACCCAGAACGATGCAATGACTTGGGTCTTGAGAAGACCTTCTTTGTAACAGTCTCACCCTGACCTGGGCCTGAGGCCCAGCCTCATGGGTGCCTTTTGCAGCCAGGTTTCAAGAGAGTAAAATCAGTAGGGCGCTGCTTCCAAGGGATTTGAACCTTTTTAAAAATCCAGACCATGAACCCAAAAGGATGTGTGCTAATTCTAGGAGGATTCGCAGGTGTTCCCAAAACAGCAACAAAGAGGAGGAATGTCATTAATGGCTTCTTATATTTGGGGGAAAAATCATCGCCTTTTGTCAGATAACACAGTTCATCTCCTCTAGTTACTAACGGAGTGGCTGTCCCGAGAATCCCCTCCTCCCAGGTGTGACGGCTGACAGGAGCAGAAAGCCGGCGTGCTGCAGCACGGGGCCGTTCAGCAACTCATGTCATTTCCAGAGTTTCCCGTTAAATATAAATCCATCCTCCAGCCATGATACTTTTCTCCTTCAGCATATCCATTGCCAAGTAATTATTATTTATCTAAGAATGGGCTTGATGCGTATTCATGGTGAATATTACCGGAGAGGCATTTGAATGTGAACTCACTGCTTAATACTAAAGAGAAACTATTTGCACACGTACAGTCTGCACAAGAAGAGTGTTGAGGCAGTTAACGTACTCAGCGAAGCCACAAGACCTGTAAGTCTCCCAGAGTCAGGATGAAAGCCTAAGAGCGGTTCTCTGGCCCAGAATCAAGCATCTGTCTCAAGCAGGTGTCACTGCCCTGGCCCTATTTTAATTGCCTCTGTCCTTGAAGACAGTGAAGCTAGGAGAGGGGAAGAGCATGGTTCCAGTTGCAGTTCACTTGATGAGCCTCTCTCAGTTCCAGCCACTTCCACAGGCTGGACACCCTCAGCCTCTCCTGCACTTGGAGTCTGTTGATTATAGTTGGTGGTGTCCTGGTTGAGTCTCAGTTCACGCAGTGACATGATTGAAAGGCCACCAGAGTGCATCAGTATCCCACATGGATGAAATGACTTGGGGTAGGGTCGTAGACTTCTAAAATCTTCAGGTCAGACAGCACCTTGAGGTCTTCAGAGAGCTTCTGGAGCAGACTCCTCTGCCCTTCTCTACCTTCCTCATAAGCAGTCTCTTCAGTTTGCCCCTTCCTTTGCTGCCCGGGAATGAAGCAGCCGTATTATTGTAACCTCTCAACTGGCTTTCAGCTCCCCTGTCCTCCGGACCAATTCAGTCCTAAACCAGCCTTCAGCGACAGGCTTCTCTGCGTGTTCCTCTCCCACTCTCTTTGTAGCATTTGATCCAAGGGCTTTTTATTAGTATCCATATCTTTGGGTATAAACGATATAAGATACATAGGTGGACTAATAGATAGGTCTTCTTGACATCTTTCATGCATTTAAAACGTATCAAATCTGGCATACGTGGTTTCTCTGCACAGTGTCCAGTATGAGGTCAACTTTTACTTGTTCTGTCAGACTCTACTGCCGTCAAACTGCAAGGTTTCTTTCTTCGTTAAACTACCAGCAGTCCTCAGAATTCCAATGGGTAATACTGTGATCTCAGCCCTTCAGTGGGAACATATTTTCCTTTGCTCTGGGGGCATCCAAGTCCTCCTGTGTGGCTCCCGAGAAGAGCTAAGGATAAAGATAGTTTCTTGCAAACAGGTGCACTCTTGGGGTCCCTTGTTGCATGATTTATGCCCCTCTCCCCCATTTATTCTCACAGGCCAGTCTGGTTCTACTGTTATCAATGGGGCTAGGCTTAGATCTCCTTCACAGCATTCTGATTTGGCCTGAGACCTCAAGATCTCTCCCAGCCTCTCCCTAAATTGGTTCAGAGCTGACCTAGAAAGGGCCTGGCCTGGCCTTAAAGGTACCCAGGCGAAGGTGTCGCTCAGCTGCCTCTTAAGCATTTCTAGATGAGATATCAGTGTGTAAATAGTGAACCCCAAGCCCTTTGGACCACTTTCCCGAACCCAGCATGAGGCTTGCCTGGCTGCACTAGCTTCCTGCTTTTAGATGGACCAGAAGTTCAAGGGTGCAAACGAGAGTATAGCCAAGCCTTGAACCAAAGCTGGGATGTAGCTGGCGCCCGCATGGCCACGGGCTGGGCCCACACAGCTCCAGAATTGATCCAGGTGCTGTGGCTGACTGGCAACAGTTAAGTAGGCCAGGCTCCTTCACAGTTTGCCAATTCCTGGCCTAGCTCGTGGGGAAAATGTTATACCGCAGCTCAGTGTTGCTATGTAAAGATTTCTCCTCTACCTGTGCCACTTGCACTTGTTCTGAGACAAGTGGTTGGTTACCTATGCTTCGCAACTGTGTATGCCGTAGTTAGAGGAACAGCGCTAAAAACCCTCCACACCCCGCCGAGGCCCTAGTTTTAGCATCTGGCCTCGTGGCTTCCCCCAGTCCCCAGCGCCCTGGGTGCACTGCCCAGGTCCCCTGCCTTGTGCATGCTGAGACAGCGCTGCCTGCCTCCGCTTGTGTGTCCGGTGTGTGTGTGGGCAAATCGCTCTGGTTCTCCTCACTGCCATTTCCATGTGCCTGCCGCTCCCTAACTTCAGCCTGGGCCTGCCCGCACTTCTCGCGGAGGAGCTGGAGTCCAGGCAAGTAGGCTGGAGAGCCAGTGGGCAGTGGTCTGGTGTTGCTGGGTGGGTTGAGGGTGGGTATCTGAGTTTTGGGAAGTGGCACCCCAGCTGGAGGGCACAGGGTCGAACTTACGCTTGTAGTGCTGCGGCAGGAATGCAGAACTGGACACCGCCCTCCAGGCGTGGCCCTCCCGCGGACTTAGATGGTGACCAGAATAAGTCATTGCCAAAGACCACACAGCTCTGGAAAGGCCAAGCTAACTCCTACCTTTCCAGAAATTGATACGGCCTACCTTTGCGAAAGGTGTCCGATGCTTTAAGAGTGTGCTGAGTACAAATAAGTCCCGCCTGGTAGGGAAGAGGCGGTGCTATCTGCTCCTGTTGCGCCATGGAGAAAGTGAGCACACAGCTGTAGCTGACTGCCCAGGCCAAGGCTGAAAATAATGCTGCCTCATTTTGGTGCTTCAGGGCCAGGCCCACGTATGCAAAACACAGGGACTATTAAATTGCCTCACATTTAAGGAAGTCTTGGCTGTTTTGTCCCAGCTTGGCCTGGTCTGGGTTCTCCTGTGATGTGCAGACTGCTGCAGCGACAGGTCGGAGCCGTATGCCTGCTGCCACTTTTGACGGCTGCAGGAGCGGAAGGGCTCGTCAGCGCTGGGTTTAGGCGGCGGCAGCAGCGTGTGCGTTCTCATTCCCAGGGTTTGAAAATGCCCGAAATGTTATAACTACGTTTGCAAAACTAAAATTCTTATTTAATCTGGCATGAGGAGGACTCAAACACAGCATTTTTCATGGTGCTGAGTGCCAGTGGATTTGGGATGAAAGCATTTGATGCAAGGGTCGTCTTTTATGTACTGATGGTACCTCCACCACTAGAATGGTTACCTGCAAAAGAAACTTCCAATTTGTTTTCCCCTGCCTTCTGCAGGAGGGAATTCCTCTTTTGTTCCCAGTCCTAATTCTCTGACTTCCCAGTGGAAATCTAGAGATGTTCTTCAGTGAGCCTTTAGTCAATGGCCCCTGGTACTGACCACTCCATACACCTGGATGTGAAATCACAGACTGTCCGAGCCTCTAGCCAACCCTCTCAGTTGAAAGATGGAGAAAGGGAGGTCCAAGTAGAAGTGAATTACCTGCAGTTGCATAGGGAGTAACCAACAGACTCAAGTGTTCCAGCTTCCGTTGGGATGTTCAGATGTGGGGTTCAGGCACCTGAGTCTGTAGCATGTGTGTGCAGGGAACCCTCCAGAGATGCCAGTTAGTGGTAGGCAGGATTCTCCACGTTTTCTCTTTACATGCATTGAAAGTTTTGTTCCACATTTATGCCTAATGTTTCTGTTTTTATTCCAAAGAAAATAGAAAATGGATAATTAGCAATTCTGTCTGCTCGGTACATTCCTTTCAATGATACTCTTAGTTGGAATAAGTTACATTACTTGCAGATAGAAGGTTAAGGTTGGCCTTTCCTCTGGGGGCCCTTCTGGGGGTGGGTTTCCCACAGCAACTGTCCTGTTTCTCAGAAGCAACAGGATCTGGGGCACTCTCGGGTGAACTACCTCCATGCCTCAGTTTCCAGGGAAGATAGAGGCTTAATAGCCATCCACCATCTGATATCCAGATTGAAATATTATTGCCACTCTCTTCTCCGTTCTCACCCTTCTCTAGATCTCTCTTTAGATTATCTGAGGCAACAGATGAGGCTGATTTCTGGACCAAAGTATCAGTTCTGTCCTTAGCAGCACCCGGTGGAGAACAGATTTACTTTAGATTCCTTAGGCATCCTCCCCCCCACCCCCGAGGGAAAGATCGGCCTCACCTTGGGAGGCACTAATGGAAAGTGGCAACTAATCTCATTAGTGGCCCCACTTAGAGGCAGAGCCAACTGCAGGATCAGGTCCTTAAATCCGGGCAGCGGGAGAAGCAGCCGCTGCATCCAGGAGTATGATCTCCGAGTGCTGGCTGCTGGGAGGGCTGGCAGGACCCTGGGTCAGGCTTGGCCAGACGGTGGGGCAGACGTGGTCTTTTACTCCCTGATAGAACGTGAATCTCTTTGGAGCGGATTACGCTTCAGAAATCCAGAGCATTTGTTGTCTGAGCCAGAGAATTGGCTTTTCCAGTTCCTTCCTTCTCTCTCCTCCGCTCCTGGTTGCAGCTCTCCCACCCTGCTCACCCTGACTCTGTGTCTTTATCCACACCATGTTTTCGGTTCAAGAAAATGCTCTTTCCCACATGCCTTGGTCCAGGCCACCAAATTCATCAGCTGTGCTTGTTCAGGGACCTTCAGAAACCCTCCTAGAGACCCCTTTATCCACTTCTTGGCAGAAAAATCACATATGTGTAAATATTGTCATCGTCTCGTGACTCAGTTTCTTCAAACCAGGGTCCTGACAGAATCACCCCACCTCTCTTCCCACTGAATTGTATCCCCACACCCAGATTGCACACGAAGAGCAGACCCTACTGGGCCCTGAGCATTCGGGGTATGCCATTGCCAGGTGCTCTACCATGAGAAGGCGAGAGGTGATGAGGGTCCCCCTCTTCTCATAGAGGGCATCTCTGTAAAGCTGTTTACCTCAGCCCTGCCGGGGTTGCTGGATGAGGCCCTGTTATGAGTCAGTCAGCAAACATTTGACATTTGCCAGGTATGAAGCATGCTCCCGGGTGCCCTGAGAAATAAAAAGGGAACGGAAGGTCAGGGAAGGAAGCTGACACCCACCCACAGATGTGGAAACACAGACCATGACAGCCATTTCACTGACTTAGAAAGGGCATGTGTAGGGCTTCCTATTTCTCACGGTATTTGGATGCGAGGAAGGGAAGAGGGAAGATTGCAGGGGGTTTACTGTGACACTGTTCTTAGCTAGTGGGTCAGTATATCAGTTTTTGGTTTCGTTTTTTAAAAGACAAGATAAGAAAAACGTACCTGCCTCAACACAGCAGTAATACGTTAGCTGTCAAAGGAGTTCCGACAGGGATGGAGCAGGGGGCAGGGTCTGGGGCCCAACTCTTTCCTACCTTTTGCTCGTGGTGTGGGGCTCTGAGTCGTACACGAGTGACACATCATGGCCCTCACTCAGGACAGAGAGAGAGCCAGCGAGCAGCTTCTTTCGGCTTCTCCTCTGAATTGCAAGCCTGGGTGCCCATTTTGCCCGGGGCAGGGCTTCTTTGTCTTGAATTGAACCTGGAAGGTGTCTCTGGTCCTGGCCATCCACCAGTGACTCGCATTTGCATTCACGTGCCTCCCTTCTCTCTGTCCTGTCTTCTCGCTGTCTCCTCTGCCTCCTCCTCCCCTGCAGGTTCACTTGCTGAAGGACCAGCTGGCTGCTGAGGCTGCGGCGCGACTGGAGGCCCAGGCTCGCGTGCACCAGCTCCTGCTGCAGAACAAGGACATGCTTCAGCACATCTCTCTGCTGGTGAAGCAGGTGCAGGAGCTGGAGCTGAAGCTGTCGGGACAGAACGCCAGTAAGCCGGGGCCCTGCCCAGCCTCACCTCCGTGGGGAAGCTCTGGAACCACATGTTCTCTTCCCTAAAGCTTTTTGGTGGTGCTTTATTGGACCCCTGACCTGACCTGGTATCCCAGCAGAAAACAAAGGCAGCTCTGTTTGTCCCATTTGTACATTTCATGGAGTTACAAAAGGGCAGGGCCAGAGAGGGGCTTGGCTGCCTTCTAGCCCAGTGCCCAGACTTGACCTTGAAAGGCCCCGGGAGTCACGACCACATGTTCACCCAGCCTCTCCTCGATGGGGGCCCGGGCTCTTTACACGTAAGCTAGGGCTGCCCGTTTCTTTCTCAGAGGGCTTTTCCCATTGAAACACGCTGAGCACCTATGGTGAATCGTGGTCTCTGTGAGCTCTGCAGGAGACATCGAACTGTTTAGTAGTTTACTCTCCCCGCACTATTTGACAACTCGGCAGCGTAGAAAAGGCTGGCAGCAGTCCGTCTATTTAACGGATAAGGCAGAGGAGTAAACTGTGGCCAGCTAGCTCTGCTGATGAGTGGCAGAGGTTGCCTGGCTCCCAGCCTGCCTCTACTCCCAGCCACCCCCAGGCTGCACTGAGAAGTACTAGAAGACAGCGTGTCTCCACGCCTTCCTCCTGAGCTTGTCCCTGGGTTGTCTGCTGCTCTAAGTGTGCGCTGGCTGTGGACCAATATCTGTTGATCGTATACATAATCTCATTTAATCCCTATAGTGGTAGGTGGTGCTGTGCCCATTTTACAGATGAGGAAACGGACTCAGAGAGGTTAAGTAACCAGCCCACAGTTTCAGGCCTAGCAAAGTGTGGAGCCCAGATTCAGACCCAGGTCTAATGCTTTCCCTGTTATACCAGTAGTTCTCCCAAACGATCCCGTGAGCTTTTTAAAAGATGGATACTCCCAGATCCAACCCACAGAGGTTCTGCATTGGTAGATCTGGGGCAGGGCTGATAACTCTGTGTTTCTAAAGTGGCCCAAAGTTACGGATTGGGAACCACTGTACTTCACCGCTCTGAAAGCCCCTCTGGATTTTTATTTTTGTTTATCAAGGCCCTGTCGTATTCTAATTAATGCCAATTTACAAGGTTGCACCAAGTGTTACTACATGCTTTTAAGGTAGCTCTTCAGTTTGTACCTTCTTCCTACCACACACCCCATTCAAGGCGTCCACGGGCCTCACCAGCTGATCATGGGCTTATCGTTGCCCTGCCCTTACCACCTCCCCTGAGCTCGTCCCCTTCAGCCTGGCGTGTCTGTGCTGTGTGGGGTGGAAGGAAGAGCTGAAGAGCCCCTGTGAGGGTTCGCTCAACTGGCCAGGGACCTGGGTGGGCCAACGGTGGCTTCCAGACCAAGCACCTTGCTAATGTCGCCCCCTCCCCCTCTTCTCCCCCCACTCCAGTGGGCTCCCAGGATAGCTTGCTGGAGATCACCTTCCGCTCTGGAGCTCTTCCCGTGCTCTGTGACCCCACGACCCCGAAGCCAGAGGACCTGCACTCGCCGCCCCTGGGCGCGGGCTTGGCCGACTTCGCCCACCCAGTGGGCAGCCCCTTAGGTAGGCGCGACTGCTTGGTGAAGCTGGAGTGCTTCCGCTTTCTCCCGCCCGAGGACACCCCGCCCCCTGCTCAGGGTGAGCCGCTGCTGGGCAGCCTGGAGCTCATCAAGTTCCGAGAGTCAGGCATCGCCTCCGAGTACGAATCCAACACGGACGAGAGCGAGGAACGCGACTCGTGGTCCCAGGAGGAGCTGCCCCGCCTGCGGAACGTCCTGCAGAGGCAGGAGCTGGGCGACAGCCTGGACGATGAGATCGCCGTGTAGGTGCTGTGGTGCTAGCAGGCGGAGGCCGTGGCCGAGGTGTGGAGGGGCCAAGTCTGGCTGCTGCCCGGGTAGGGGCTGCCGGCGAATGCACACTGCTGAGGATACCCGGGGGCCCCGAAGCGTTTACAGTTTCAGAAAAGGGTTAGGGTTTTGCTTTGGAGGGTCAAGTGGGGAAGACATTGGATTCCCAGAAGTGAATCAGGTCCTGCCTCCTGCTTGCGACTACTGGGTGGGTGGGGGTTGGGCAAGGGGCCTCTCGGAGCCCATGGCTTTGGGAGAGGGTCCCTCTTGAGGACCACCAGGCTGCTGAAGGACGTGCTCCCTGCCCGCTGCATCATCAGGCTCCCCTGCTCTGTCGTGTGATGCCCCCCCCCCCCCCCCCCCCCCCCCACTTCTGTGGTCCCGACTATGAAGGGAAGCCATCGGTACCTTCTCAGGTACTTTGTGTTTGGATATCAGGATGCTACCAGTTGCCTGACTCTCCCCAACCTTCGTGGGAGGAATTCCTTCTCTAGGCCCTTGCAAAGATTGTAGAGGTCGAACGCTCTAGGCTGAAAGACAGGGTAGTCCTTTCAGTGTGAACGTGGAATTGGGATGTGTCACATTGCGGGGATAAGCTTTCAGATGAATTGGATCCAATCACTTTCTCTAGGTGGGCTTCAGGTGTTGCTCCTGAGGGAGACTGGGAGTTGACTGTCATTCAGGCCCTTGCCGTGAAAGCCCGTGGGGAGGACAACGTCTTGCCTGCCCCAGATCACTTAGGTCTGATTCCTCAGTGTGGATGCCCTGCCCACCGCCTGCCTGCAAGTCCAGCTCATCCACGTGGAGGCTGGAAAGCTGCCCTCTCTCCCCTGTGTCCTGCCTCAGGGGCTGTGCCAGCTGAAGCCTTTGTAGCACTCTTGCCTCTATAAAAGCCTCAGAGACCCGGAGCCCCCAGCCTTACCTCTCAACCTGTCCCTTCCACTGCGCAGTAGTGATCAAAAAAGAAAAAAAAAAAAAAGCAAACAGAGACTGGTAGCTGAGACCACTCAAGTCCACTCTTCAGAATCACTGCCACTTAAGTCAGAAACGATAGTCACTTCGCCCTTGACGTGTCTCCCTGTGGATGCATGCCTCGAGCACACCTGTAAAAAGTGCCAGGTGCAATTCTCTTTTACCATCTAGGCCTAGAGATTACCACCTGGCACAGTGAGCTGATTGGGGCAGGGAAGGCTAGCTTACTTGTCCTTGGTTCCAATAAGGCCCTAAGTGGCTGTTAACAGATTTAAAGGTGCCTGAAGAGAGAGCTGAGACATGCTAGTGCCAAGTGTTGGGGAAATAAGACTTTATCTTGGACAGCAAACCACAGACCCAGACTGCAATATTATTTGGGGATCAATTGGTAAGGATGTGGTTGCAAAGTTGAGTTCTTCAAGCCTAACTTGGCTTTATAAAATATAGAAGTGAAAGTGCAGATCTTTTCTTATAGCTACAGTTGTATTTCTTCTAGACCAGAAAGTCCAAATTAAGGAAATAAATGTAGCTTTGTGTTAGCCTTCCTTGGTGCACGAGGGTGTCAGTGGAATGGGACGGGTGCGTGTGTGTGTGCATGTGTGTACACGTGTGCTGGCATTGACACACACGTGTGAGGGAAGGTGTATACGTATGCATAGGCTTGTGAGAAGTGACCAGAGAGAAGAGAATGGGAATCTCCAGGGTGTTTGAATCAACAGTAGATTTGTGTTCTTTTCCTAATGTGCATTTGGTTGGAGAGAGGTGGTCCTGTTTTTGTTATACTTTCTGATTAATCATTGGACGTAGGTCCAGATACACAGGGAAGGAAGAACCATGAAATCGAAGGAGAAAGGTTAGGAGTCCGGTTTGCCTGAGCCTCTCTAGCTAGCTTACAAAATCCTACCCAGGCTTCCTTGAGTGTGGGACCTCTTAGCTCCTTAGAATTTGGGGTGTTCAGGGGAGTGGAAGGTCTGGCTTCTCCAGGCCCACTGCCTGCAAGCAGGGGCTGAGGACAAAGCCAGAGGCCAGTGGATTAGGTGTGTGGAATGTGGTAGGAGGAGGCTTCTTTGGGATGGGGAGAAGAGTGGGTGGGGGGCATAGTTTCTAAAAGGGTCTTGAAAACCTTGTCAAGGGAAGGAAGAAAGGAGACGGTGGAGAGGTTGAAGAATTGGAGAGACTAGTTCTATGTACCGCTGACTTGGGACCCATTTAAGACCCTTGCCCTCGGGGTGCCCCGCAGTGGTTTCCACCCACCTCGGCCCCATTCTTTCCCCAGTTCAGGCCCTCCCTGGAGCGCTGGTTTGTGTGTTGGCATCCCACACCAGCGCGCACTAGGTGTGTTGGAGGTGAAGGAGACAAAGGACAGATCTAGGGGCCTTGAAGGGTCACCAGCCACTGGGAAGGAAAGGGAATGTTGCAGACCTGATCTCCGAGCAATGTCACCCTGTCCTCCTCTCTCCTTGCTTCTTGCTCTGCTAACTCAACTCCTGCCCCCCTCTTTTTCATCCTTCTACTCTGCCCCGTATGGAGGACAAGTGGACACCAGGGGCGCCTCCCTTACTGTACCTGCCCCAGCCTTTCCTTGGTGCCAGCAGACTCTTGGGTACATGAGGCTCCCACAGTTGCGGAGCCAGGAAAGAACTTCTCTGCACAGGATGGACTGTATATTGGGACTGAAAATCATATTCCTGCTTATACCAATGCTGTCTATAAAGCCTCTTCATAGCCTCACTTCTCTCAACTCTCATTTAGGGGTTGTATTCCTTTTATTTTCTCTCTGCCTGACTGCTTCCTCCCACTCTGCCCCCTCCCCCTGCGCCCTCTACTTCCTAAAACTGTGTGGCATTAACTCTGTTGGATCAACTCTCTGGGAAAAGATTCTGTTCATGTTAAGTGCACTTACTCCCTGGATGTTGTCACTAGTCTAGTGGCTTTTGCTAAATAAACCTTTCTTGTTTCTAAAAGCTTTTCCATTGTCTTTTCTTGCCTTTTCTATTCCACCTGCTCCTTCCCCCACCCGCCTCCCAACTTCCCGAGCCCGGTGGCATCAGCTCTGTGACACACCATTCCCGAGGGTGTGTGGTGTTTAGAAAGAACTCGTGTGTTCCTTCAAGCAGCGGGGGAAGGTGGTGCCTTCAGGGGCAGTTGATTCAGACCAGCCTTGCAGGATCAGGCTGTACCAACGGTTCTTATCCAAGGGCGAGTTCGCTCCGCCAAGAGCTGGATGTTCGGTGACGTCTGGAGACGTTTTTGGTTGTCACAACTCGGAAGGAGGCTATTGACACATAGTGGTTGGAAGCCAGGGATGTTGCTAAATATTCTACAGTGAACAGAACAGCCTCGCCACAAAGAATTATCCAGCCCAAAATGTCAGTAATGCCTAGGCTATACCCGTTTTTTTTTTTTGGACTCTCCCAAACCCCAGGTCTTTTCAAACTCCAGACATCACTGGACTATACTGGCGGCAGCAGCAAGTTTTGAGTGCTTGAAAAAGTACATCATAGATATTTTCAGATATAACTAAGATCATCAAGATTATAAAATTTCACTGACTCCCCGACTAAATGTCTGAAATATGTAGTTGGTAGGTTTCTGGATGGGCCCATTCCAGGAATGTCCATACTGGAGGCAAACAGACTTCTTCCCACACCTGCCTAGAAGGGTTATGGTGTCACTGACACACAGCTCAGCAGAGGAGGCCTGACTTGTTGAGGTGTGGGCTTTCCTGCAGGCAGAGAGGATGTTAGAGAAATACGGAGCTGCAGGATCTCGCAGAACCCACATCGTGAAAACCAGGCTCCCCTGACTGGAACGCATAGCCACTGTGAAGGCAGAGGTTTTGTTAGACCTGATACTTCGGTAGGCCAGGCCTGAAGGAAAGTTGGAGGGTCAGATCAACCAGGCTCACATATCCTCTGCCCTTTTCTGGCTGAGTGAACTGAACTGAGCCTTATTTTCTTATCTGTAAAATGGGAATGCAACACACCACATAAGGCTATAATGAAGAGTAGATGCGATGGTATTTTAGAAGCACCCAACAGAATGCCTGGCAGTGGCCCAGGGCACAATACAGTTTACCCCCTCATTAACTGGGGCGGGGGGGGGGCCGTGTTTGTTCTGCTCGGTGCAGTTGTGCTCTGCGTGCATTTTCTGCTGAGCGGAAACTATTCAGAGCTCTGTACTGAGAAAGCTACTGGGGTCATAATGACCCTACGTTAAATGTGAAAGGTGGAAAGTACCCTGTCCTTAGGGAGAAGACGCTAAATTCTCGCACCTGCCAGGCCATGATTAGCATGTGCTGTGGCCCTTGGGCTCAGTCCCTGGCCTTTGGGTGGATTTCTCTCTCTCTCTCTCCTTTTTTTTTTTTTTTTTTTTTTTTAAGCTGTGCTCTGTGCCCATGATGTGGGTGCCCTGGAGGAGGGAGTGAGGGCTGGGCAGAGGGAGAGAGACCAGATGAGGAGTGATTCCACGCCTGGTCCTGCCACAGACCATGCTGAGACTGCGACCGGTCTCCTCAAGTCCATTCCGTGTCCCCCTCCTTGTACTCCCTCAGGAGCCCTGTCGAGGGGACACACGTGCATAGTAGCGTCTGTAAGGAGAAGCCTCCGGGGGCTCCGGTGCCCTTTCCATTTAGGAAAGCAGGAGCTCAGAGTGAGGACTAAAGACTTGCCAGAGTCACTCATCTGCTCCCTCCGGGAACCGGGCCCTGGAAGCAATGGAATGATGTCAGGGCTGCCTGAAGACCACCCTGCCCCTCAGTGAGTGGGTGGGACCCTGCATGTCCTGGCTCCCAGGCCAGCTGGAGCCTGCAAATCAAGTAGACTCTGGGACTCTGACTTAGTGGGTAGAGGGTGAGGGAAAGAGTGGGGAACTGGGTGCAGGACTGGGAGTGCTCTCACAGCAAGGGACTGGTGTGTGATGGGGGTGTGAGCCAGCCTGTCTCTCACAAAAGAACCACCAATGATATATTTTTTTTTTTTTTTGCGGTACGCGGGCCTCTCACTGTCGTGGCTTCTCCCGTTGCGGAGCACAGGCTCCGGACGCGCAGGCTCAGCGGCCATGGCTCACGGGCCCAGCCGCTCCACGGCATGTGGGATCTTCCCGGACCGGGGCACGAACCCGCGTCCCCTGCATCGGCAGGCGGACTCTCAACCACTGTGCCACCAGGGAAGCCCCCACCAATGATATTTTAGCAGAACAGTGATAAGCAGAAGCAGCTCGGCCAAACTATAAAGTGGGGCTTCGGAAGACTTAAGTATGTGACCCCTGGAAGGGTAAGGGGAGATCCTCCACCCTAACCCATTGGCCAAGCAGTGGGGAAGCAGACACAAGGGGAGGGTTGGTGCCAGGGTCCCAGAAAGGAAATGCCCCCTTGCAGTGAAAGGGCCCACTGAGTCATTAGGGAGATGAAATGACAGGTAAATAAGGCCTAAAAATAAGACCATCAAACATAAGCTCTTTTTTCTGTAACCACATAATGGGCAAAACCGATGTCCTTGCTGCACCCTTGATGCTCATCCGTTTTTCTGGGTCAGAGTTGGCTATGAGGTTTGCTCAGAAATGGAGTAAGGGTCAGGGCTGTCTGCTGGGACATTTCTTGGTACTAGGAAGCAGTGTTTTCACATGTTTACCCGGCTTTTTAGACATGACTCAACAGAGCCATGTAAAGATACCCCCCGGGCCAGAAGTGATCTGTTTTGCTTCAGCCAGAGATGTCCCTTCCAAATGAAGGATCGTGGTACACGTGGTGGGAATGGGCCCCAGCCCTATTTGCCTCTTTTCTGCCTTATGCGTGGGGCATGTTGTCCTCCCTGTTCCACCCCTCAGAAGATCTAACACCTAAGAAGCTTTCAAACTGTGCAGAGATTCTGCTGGTGGAACCGACAGAAAAGGGCATTCAAGCCTTCTCCCTCAGTGTGAGTTCTCCCACGGTGCAGGGCAAGGACCCATCACAGAAGGACCAGCAGGAAGGCCAGGGTCTTAGAACAGTGGTTCTCATACTTGAGCTGCATCAGAATCACCTAGAGGTCAATTAGAACACAGATTGAGGGACCCACCCCCCAGAGTTTCTGATTCTGTAGGTCTGAGAATTTCATTTCTAACCAATTCCCCAGGGATGCTCACACTGCTGGTCTGAGCACCTCACTTTGAAAACCACCATTTTAGAAGATAGTCTCAAACTTTGGGTATTGTCTTTCAAAAAACAAAACAAAACAAAAAAAGAGGCAGGGAGATGGGCCTGGTGTTGCTAGGCACCCGGTAGCAGAAGGGGAATGGGATGGGGACCAGGGACTGAGAAGGACAGGTGGCACAGGGTGACCTCAGACTTGACAGAAGGCTGTCACTAACTTTGGTTTATTGGTCTCTCTGTAGAGACATAAATAGGCATCATCTCCTGTTTACCTAAAGCGTTGTCCGCTAACGAGACAGCTGCCGCCACCCAGCAGGCCTACTTGAAGGCCTGGCAGCTGCCTGAGGAAAGCCTGTCTCCCGGCCGGCCCTTCTGCTCCTTGCCCCAGAGGGTTTTGAGCTTGCGATAGTACACCTTGCAGCTGAAACCCTCCTTGTAGCCCCCCTTGATGTGGCTCTTGAGGGAGTGCAGCGTCGGGTACATACGGCAGCAGGCCGCACACTTGTAGCCGTTCTGCTGGGCCGGGTACCACTTGGAGGCCATTAGGATGTCCTGGGATGTGATGTAGTCTGTGGAATCCAGGCCGTGTCTGGATTTCTTGGTGGCCTCTTGGGGGCAGGTGTTCTCTGGGGAGGAGGAGGATGAGCAGATGCTCTCAGCCGTGTCCTCTGGGAGGCAGCTGTCCCCCCTGCCCTCGTCCCGCTGCACCTCTGGGAAGCTGTAGGTCTCCAGGTGGCTCTCTCTGTCCTTGCATACAAAGTAGCTGTAAGGGGAGAACCAGGGCCGGTAGATGGTGCAATTCCTCCTCAGCTTCTCTCTGTTTGGGGGGTCCCCCGAGATGCAGCCTGCAAAGGAAAGGGCTGGGTCTGAGCCTCGAGCCGGGCAGGGAGCAGTGAGACCTGGGGTGGCTGGAGGCCGGGTGGAGAAGCAGAAGGGCAAGAAAGCAGGTAGTCAGGCAGGACCTCAGGTTACCTCTGCCCCTCCTTGAGTGCAGTTCTGAGAGCAGACAGAGGATGGGGTGGGGAGAGCAGGCTAAGGCCTTCCTTCCTGCTGTCCAGAGAAAAGCAGTTTGATCTCTAGGTAGAGACTCCCCTTGCAATGACTAAGCCTTGGCATTTGTCAGGTGCATCCCTCCCTGCAGGCACCTTTCCTCTGCCTCCTCTGAGGATAGACACAGGTGGCTCAGCAGGCAGCCAGACCTCTGGCCTCCTAGAGCCCCTCTTTCTACCACCACTGGTTGTGGCCGTTTCTCCAGCCTCACTGTCTGCCTGCAACAGCCCAGTCAGGCAGAAAGTGCTGTTCTCCTTCAGCCTGAGAGACAGGAGAGGAGAAGCAGAGGACTTCACAGACCTGCAGGTCTCTGCTAAAGGAAGCACCGGACAGGAGACTGCAGTGGGGACAGGCAGCACGCGGCGATCCCACACACAGGCACCCTGCCCTTAGGGGAGCAGCCCCTGTTCCCCCAGCTTCTCACATGTGCCCACCTGAGTCAGAGAAGGCCTCACCTGCTGAGAGCACCGTGTTGTGCACCCCATGCCGGAGAGCGCCGCTTTGGTACTGGGGTGGCAGGGCCTGAGCTGGGCTGGACGCCTCAGTAGGAGACACAGTCTTTGCAATGCCTGGGTTACAGAGGAAACACTCTGGTGAGCTGAGCAAGGTTGGGCGTCCTCTTGTTGGGACCCCTCCCCCCGAGACATACCTAGAGGTTCAACCTTGGTGCTTTAAGGCACTGCAAAACTGAAGCAAAACAATGACCTTTGTGGCATCCACATAGGCAGAGCTATTCTGGATGACCTCCTGGGGAATTCCAAATGGGGTGCTGGTGTCATTGAGACCCTGGAAAGGTCCTCTCCAAAGAAGAATATAAGATGTGGACCAGATGACAGCTTTCTGCCTGGCCCTCCCCGCTCTTGACCCTCCTGCAGCTGAGAGAGAGAGGGAGACAGAGAGAGAGAGGGAGAGGGGGAGGGGAGGGGAGGGGGGAGGGGGGAGAGAGAGAGAGAGAGTGTGTGTGTGTGTGTGTGTGTGTGTGTGTGTGTGTGTGTGTGTTTTCACTCTGCATTGCAGCCTTTGGGTCCCTGGAGGGCCCAGAGGAGGGAGTCTGGTCGAGGACCGCGTAGCTATGTTACAAGATCCCTTTGAGGACGAGAAGCCCATTTCTCCAATTAAAACGCCTCCCACCCACAGCCACAGAGTGTTCAGGTGGACCCCAGCTGCCTGATGGTTGCTAATACTTGGATTAAGAAGCTGGCTTGCCTCAAATCACAGAGCAGTGGCTGTGCTCAGTTTGGGAAACGGATACAAATGTCCCGTGTATAGGCAAACGGATGCTTAGGAGAACCACTTCACAGAACAGCATTTCTCAGACTTTCATGTGCATAGGAATCACCTGGAGATCTTGTTAAAAATGCAGATTCTGATTCAGCGGGTCTGAGGTAGGGCCTGAGATTCTGCCTTTTTCTGACAAGCTCCCAGGTGATGGTGACGTTGCAGGTCCATGGACCATGCTTTGAATAGCAAGTCCTCAGCACATTCAACTTTATTCCAGGATAGGCTCATCAGTTCCCCCCTGCCTTAGGTTCCTTCTGATGGATTGATAAGTCTAGATCTTCTCCAGGTTGTCAAAACAGGGCTGAAACTAGTACATACTCCTTACTTAGACAAACTGTCACTTTGAGGGTTCATGCAGATTCAGAGGGGGAAAAAAGCCTGATAACAAATGTTTCCCCCATCCTTCCCTTGCAAGAAATGAATCAACAGCAGGAACTACTTACCATGTAGGCAACATTTTGAAAAATTATTTTCTCCCCACGTGTAATTTGACTTTCTCACTAAATCGTGGTCCTGTAACATGATCTGGTAGAGTACTCAATTACAAGCTTCAGAAAACCACATTTTTGTGGCCCTAGTGGCACGAGAGTTTACCTGGCAAGCTGGTGGCACGTGAGGGCGTGATATCAGGAAAAGTGCTCAGAGCAGAGGAAGAGATTCGAGGTCCAGAAATGCTGAGGAGTGAGAAGTTCTCCATATTCTGACTACTGAAGTGTATGGAGGTCACACACGCCTGCTTCCAGGAGGCTGGTTGGGTTGTCCAGGCAATAAACATTCTGAGCTCAGCTGACATCACAAAAAGGCCACATGATTCTACTCGCCAGGGAGGTTATCCCTCTCGAAAGATGGATGGGGTCTGTAGCAAGCAAGATAAAAAAATTTTAAAGATGTTTTTCACTTGTCATTCTTCCGTGGCCTGTCTTGATTGGGGATACCCAGAGAGCGGGAGGAATGTAGTAGAGACCTGATAGCGATGTTGTCTATGCGCCCCCTCTGTTCTCTAGTGTCCCTTTTCCATGTCGTTGCTGTCACCACCCCCAGCTCTGGGATCCTCTGTCCTCTCTTAAAGACCTCTTTGCTTTTTTCATCTGCCTAACCTCTGTCACCAGATGTTTTCGTTGTTTTACGTTAGTTTCTGTTTTTTTGGTTTGGGGTATATTTTTTTACATTTCTCTTTGGAAATAATTTCAAACTTATAAAAAGCTGCAAAAATAAAATTTGAACAGGGAACATCCACGTAACCTGCATCTAGATTTTCCTATTGTTAACATGTTACTCCATTTGTCTTATCAATTCCCTCCCTCCCTCTCTGCCTTTATGTGTGTATACATTTTTTTGCTGAGATATTTGAAGGTAAATTACAAACATAATGTCCCTTTGTGCCTAAATACTTCAATATGTATGTCCTAAGAATAGGGACCAAATACTGTTTTAAATGGTGCTGTCTGTTTTTAGCAAATGACTAAAACATAAATGGGTGACTTAGCACCATTTTGCTCATTATAAGCAATTTGGTAGTAAGGCTACGTACTCAGAGTGGCGAGGTAGCCTCTTCTCTTTGCTTCCCTTCTGTCATGTAACAACGTGGCCAGCCTGCTAGCTAGAGGGTTGAAAGATGAGCTTGAAGGTGCCCCATTCTAGATCATCGTGACTAGATGCATACAGGGCTTTAGATCTAAAGATGGGTATGTTTGTGCTGGGTGGGAAAGGTCTGGCCCAGCCCACAGTCAGCAGTGGGCTCTCCTCGCAGTGTGTGGAGCAAGTGTGAGTTAGCATGTGCATGTGAGATTCCAGAGTTGTCTTCCCGCCCGTGTTTATTCACAGTACTTAAACATTTGCAGGACAGTGCGGAGAATGAGATCTCATGGACCTCCTTCATAGCCTGGCTTGGAACGTTAGAACATGTTAGGGTGTAACTTGACGCCATGTACCTTGGCAACTTTGAGGGTATTGGCAGTCTCACTTGGCCGTCATGGTGTAGAGAAGGATCGTGGGTCTGGGAGTCAGTCTATGTGAGTTCTAACCCCTGCTCTGCCGTTACCTCCCTGTGCGGTATTAGGCAGACCTCTCTGCCACCTGCCTTTCCCATTTTGTTAATGTAGACGGTTGGAGTGGATGAATGAACGTCTTTCCGGTCTATCTAGGGATTCACATGTTGGAAACGAGACAGCAAAAAAACGAGTGACGTACACGGGATCCAGAAGACTTAGAATTTCATGTTGCCTTGGCCCATTGCATTCCTCCCACTGCCAGCTAGGAACTTCAGATATACTTAATGTAAAGGGGCCTCAGAACATTGGGGGAAATACAGGAGGCTGCACCAGCACCTGTTTGTAGAATTTTTAAAATACGGCTCTGTTTTGGTTTATTAAAAAGCATATGGGAACCTGGTCATCCAGGTCTGTTACACTCCTCATAGCAGGACCCCTGTCTTGCATGCTATATCCTCTTGGTGGGCTGTTGCTGGTGACCCAGACAGGAGGTGACACTCCCATAGTGGTCGGTCACTACATAAAATGTGTCTCTCTCTCTCGTTTGTTTCCCGCCTGCTTTCCGAGCCCCTTTCTCGGACAGGTAAGATACTGTCTTTCTTTTGGATGACTTTGGCCCCAGATGCTCCCCTCTGCTTGGCTATGTGCATGCTGGGGGGTGCTGTTAGGAGGGCCACCTGGTTGGGATCCAGTCACCTTTCTTTCTGCCATCACCATTATTTTCTGAACCACCAAGCCTCCCGTCCTGACAGAGTGTGGGGTCATTAGTGCCTCCAGCAGGAAAGGGGCTCGCTGCACATCCCTCAGATGTAAAGATGAAGGGAGCCCCAGCCAGAGTCCTGCTTTGGAGAGAAGGGCAGTTTTTCCCGGCCTGACCTCAAGAGCCCCCGTGGACCGCTCCCGGAGGAGGGGGTTTTGAGTGTCTTTTGTAAATGGAAGAAGGCTTGGGGAATAGCTTTTCTACGATGTTAGCCCATAATGCAGTCAGTTTTAAGTATTCGTATCAAAAGTCAATTCAATGAATTTATTAAATGCCTACTGTTGTGCAAGGCCCTATGCTGAGCATTATAGACAAAAAATGTCACTTAAGATGCTTCTTCCCATCAAGGGACTTATTTTATTATTAAAGACAAGATGTATTTACCAGAAGACTTAAGAGAATTATGAAGAGAGTATATGATGAGCTATCTTTAAATTACTTAAGAATTCAGTGTATACGTCCTGGAGGGTAGAGAAACAAGAAGTACAGGAAATTAAAATGGTGCTTAATCCAAAAGTTATTTATGTTTCTTAGAATGTGTTTCTTCAATAATTATAATCAAAGGGGCTCACAATTTACAAGTCACTCTGCCAGGTGTTTTTGGTACTTACACTTTTAGAAGTGAATGTGTCTGCTCTGAACACTCACATTAAACCAGTAAGGAAACAGCCACAGAACTGTATGAGCCCGAAAGTGGTGGGGATTGGCCCTCTTCCCTGGCATATATCTCTTGAACATTTGCTCTAGTTTCATGGTGGCCCCAATACTTTCTGGTTTGGGGGGAAGTCATTAAACGCTTTAGTTTCCAAAGGCTTCTCTGCTAGTTTGCAGAGTTCACGATTAAAGAAAAATTAGAAGGATATGGGACATGATAGGTAAATTATGCAAAAGTGGATGACATGGCAAGATTTATACTCTCAGGAGAAGACTCAAGAGTTGATACACCTGTTGTGGGATGGGCCGGGATCTCCTCCTAGTGTGCTGGGTCTACGTCTGGAACCCAGCCAGCCTGAACCAGTCAGCTCTGTGCCCCGTGTCCCAGGGATGCTCTAGTCGAGTTCCCAGCATGTCCCCTGCAGTGGTCCTTTTCTTGCACGTGGGTTAGGGGCAGTTACAGAGGTGAAGACTGTGGGGTTCATCACGGGGGGAGATCTCCACTCCTCCCACAGCTTCCTCCGGCTGCCCGAAGACCCTTAGCATATGGCTTCTTGAGGTAGTTGGCTCAGAAAGGATATCTCTGCGTAAAACCACAATAAAGAGAAATGCCCCCCAGTGCCCAGGACTCAGCAGTGCAGGGCAGAGAATTGCTTTATGCAAAAGTTCAACAGAAGAAAACGTATACCCTAACCTCAGTTACTCTTAGGAAGGCTCGGCAGGAGTAGGCACTTAGCAGAGGTATTGACAAGGAGCAGAGCCTATGCCCAAATCGCTCTCCTCCTCTGAGACCGACAGAATATCTGGAGTAGCTGGTAAGGACAGCAACCTCAAGCCTGCTTCCAAGGCCCCAGAGTGGGTCTGGCTGCACTGAGGCCTGAGCTGGATTTCCTGGTGGGGAGAGGCTGCCTCTGTGCAAGTGTGTGGACAGCGTGGCTTAGAGCCCTGAGCTCCAGCCATTCCAACTACAGACCTCGGAGCTACTGTGGTCTCCGTCTCCACGATTCTCTATCCGCAAATGGGTTTGGCATTTCGGGATATTTATTGAGCACCTACTGTGTGCCACACCCAGGCTAGCTGTTAAAGACACAAAGATGAGTGAGACATGGCTTCTGCCCTGCAAGTGTTTACAACCCAGTGGGTCTCCTCCCAGCCCTTTGAGTTAATCTTTCCAGCCGAACAGAGATCCCTGAGAGGCAGACTGTGCACGAGGCATATTTAGGCATTTATTCCATTGCAAGGCAGGAGAAGTAGTGGCGAGAGCCCTGAGCTTTAGGTGAGAAAACCTGGGTTCTAGTTCCCACTGTGCCAGTAATTGGGCTGTGACCTCGGGCCCAGCAGTTCATTACTCTGAGCCCCGTCTTCTTCCTCTGTAAAGAGAAATCTTACCATGCCCCACCTTACTAGCTTGTGAGGATTAAGTGAGCTGGCGTTTGTCAGCTTCCTCCTGCTTCCTTGGCACCAAGTGCTTTGTCCACTTGGCGTGAACTGGTTCTGAACCACCACTTAGCATCTCTCTGCATGCAGCTGTCCCATTCTCCCAAGTTCCACCCCCAAGACAAGTGAGCATTTTTCATGGAGAAAACATGCTACACATGTGACTTTGTAGCAGGGAGCTTCCAACTCCCAGCCTCATACTTGCCATCCCTCCACCAGCTTCTACCCCAGCGCCTGAGTCAGAGAGCTCCACATGTGCTCATGGCAGTGTAAAAATGTCACATCTCATTGCTTCATCCTTGTTTGTCTTTACTTCAAAGGGCCTGGTGACCCCAAGGTAAGGGGTTAAGCCATGAGTCAAGAAGGCATGTTTAAAGGGATACGTTCGCTTTTTTTGTGGCTAGAGTTTATCACTGATTAACCTGGGTGAGGCAGAACTAGAATTTCTGGTCCCACATCCCATCAGAACAACTGGATCGGAAGGTTCAAGAGTGTCTTTGCTGCCTCCCTCTTGACTATTTCCAAAACCTCATGAAGTTACAGGTTGTGGGTGTGGTATAAGAAGATCAAAAGTGATGGGGTCGGGGCCCCCCTCCCCTCCCCTCACCGGCTCTCTGTCTTTCCCTCTTTGTTTGTAGTCGACCACAGCATGTTTGAGAACTTGAACACGGCCCTCACTCCAAAGCTCCAGCCAAGCCGCTCCTTCCCCCACGTGTCCAGGCCCGCGGCCCCCAGCTCTGCTGTCCTGGGGTCTGTGGAGCCCGGAGGGCCTGGACTCTGGGTGGGCAGCAGCCAGCACCTCAAGAACCTGGGCAAAGCCATGGGGGCCAAAGTTAACGACTTCCTGCGGAGAAAAGAGCCCTCGAGCCTGGGCAGCGTGGGCACGATGGAGGTCAACAAGACTGCAGGGGCCCAGCTGGCCGGGGGGGGCTGACGTGGATGACGGAAGGTGAGTGCATCTCTCCCTCCCGCCCTGACATCCTTACGGGTCTGGACCCACTGGAAGAGGCCTGCGACAAACTGTAGGGTCTAGAGGGGAGAATGGCCTTGGGGTAGGGACGGAGGTTGTCACATAAAGAACAGCTGAAAGATCGGGCCATGTTTCCGGGAGCCGGCTTCAACGCTCCCACCATGGCTGACGTTTACGGCGTGCCCATCACGTCCTAGCGCCGTGCTCTGCTTCCGCTGCGTTATTTTACCGAACCCTGAAACAGCCTTCTGAGATGAAGTATATTATTTCCATTTTGCAGGTAAAGCAGGTTCAGAGAGGTAACGTGAGGAGCTTAAGGTTACAAAGTTAGTAATTGGCACAGCTGGATTCAAACCCAGGTATTGCCAGAAGCTCCCCGGGGGGATTCTGACACCTAGCCACGCCTGAGAAGTGCTGCCCTGACTGCTGGTAGTGGAGAAGCCGGCGTCTGGCGGAACCCACCGGTCAGGGGGGAGGGGAGCCTGCTTTGGCAGCCCTCCCGCGTCCAGCCTCGTTTTAGACACCTACACTCCCCAAGTGGTGATGCGCTTTTCAGGGCTATCGTGTAGGTTCTGACGGGACGCGGTTCACCAGTGGTCCCAGTGCTAACACTTCGTGCTGTTGTGAACACCGAGTGAGGAGGTGACAGGCCCAAAGCCATTTGTGCTCAAACTGCCGAGACTCGCACGCTAAACCGAGAACGAGAGCCCGGAGCAAAAAGCACTTCCCGGGGGGGGTGAGTGGAAGGTGCAGCATGGTGTCTCTCCAGCCTTATGTCAGCTCATGTCACCAACCTTATAGGTCATCCCTGCAGGAAGCATTCCCTCGGCTGGATCCCCCGCCTCCTACCACCAGGAAGCGAACCCCTCGGGCCCTGAAGACCACCCAGGACATGCTGATTTCATCGCAGCCGGTCCTAAGCAGTCTGGAGTATGGGACAGAGCTGTCACCTGGGCAGCCCCAGGACTCCCCTCCCACTGCCCAGCCCAGCCCAGCAGATGCTTCACAGCCAGAGGCCATCATGGAAATGGTGGACAGGGGTGAGGCTCTGCCCAATGGAGAGGTTTTCCTGTCGGTACCTGACCTAATCCACAAGGACAACCAGGACGAACCGAAGCTAAAGGTGACTGAGTGCCGAAGGGCCTCCTCCCCTGGCCTCATCGAGAGAAACGGCCTCAAACTCAGCCTGAGCCCCATCAGCCTGGCTGACCCTCTGGAGGACAGCAGCCCGCCTCCTCGGGCACGGACCTCCAGCCTTGACATGGAGGGCCCTCACCCAGACCTGCTGTCCTTTGAGTAGAGCTGCTTCTGCTCCTGCTGAGACCCCCTCCCCTCTGCTCGCTTCTTCACCGCACACCCTGGCCCTTGCCCCGGCTCCACCCTGCTGTGTGTCCTGCTTGCACAAGGCTCAGCAGAGCCAGTCTTCCACACGGGCTGCTGCAGGGCCACAAGTCCATGTGTAGTCCTAGTTCAAGAGTCCGTCCGTGGAATGGCTCCTTGGCGTGCTGGCTGCAGCCCTTGGATACCAGGGCGCCTCTGCTCCGAGTTGCCCTGGCTTCCCACTGACCTGCAAGGCCAGCAGCCCAGGATGAAGGGTATTCTCTCTGCCTGGCTCCCACATGCTTCCTGCTCTTCTCCATCCCATGCCCTCCTGGTTCCTTCCTTCTCCTCCCTGGGGGCCAGAGGCCTCCTGCCTCCGGAGGAATCAGGCTGGATGAGGGATGACAGGTTTGGCTCGATGATGGGCCCAGGCCCAGAAAGCCGCATACCCCGAGCACAGCCCAGCCACAGCTCCTCCTGACCCCAAGACAGCACAGGCCCTTGGGTTGTTACCTCGCCTCTGCCCGTGTGGATGCAAGCCGGGGGCAGTGCTTACCGGACCTGAGACCTCGGGAGGCCTTGTCGACACCCCGGGTTCACAGGGTGTGTCTCGTCTAGCCTGAGGCAGGGCACGGAGCCAGCCACCGAGGGCGCCTGCCCGGCATGGGAGTGTGGAGAGGCACTGGGCAAGGTGATGCAGCCAGCTACTCTCGGGCTCCTTGCACAGAAGAAGAGACCCGGGCTTCCCTTGCTGTGCGTGAAGACAGGGCTAGGCAGGCCCTGGCAGAAGCAGCAGAGCAAGTTCTGATTTTGTTTGGTGGGGAGGGCCCAGGAACCTGGCGTCCAGGGAGCTGGTCCCGAGAGAACCCAGAGCAGTAGTGGGGAAGGCAGTGAACACGGGATGGAGAAAGAGTAGTCGTAAGGGCTCAGAGCAGCTTTTCAGGGTTTCCACAGCGTGATGTGATGTAGTTCTAGGGTCTAGGCATGGTAAGTGCAGGAAGCAAGGTGAGAAGTGTGAGAGGTTGGAATGTGGTAGGAACCGTGGAGCAGGCCACGCTTACGTAGGAGGCGCTCCGCTCTCGTACAGAAGGTGCTGTCTACCTGCCTGCCTCTGGGGTCTCTGTGAAGGACTGACAGTTCACACAGCCCCACTGGTTCTGCCCTGCTGGGTTAACCCACATCTGTGTTCCTGTCTCCCACCAGGGGTCCTGTCATGCTGTTTTCCTGTGGCCAAGAGACCCTGTCAGGGGGTGATCCCAACCCCGGGGGCCTTTGCAGCAAGAAGAGAACATGCCTTTTTTTGAGCAAGGTGGCTGGGTCCCCGGGAGAAGGCTGGGAGTGGCACATCTGGCCAGAGTGGGCTGTTCGGTTCTCCTTCTGTGACTCCTGCCGCCTCCCCTTTTCTATTCTTTGTTCGGCTTCCCACTCTGGGTGCCCCAGAGCTCACTGCCCACTTCATCTCATCACCCAGTTCCTGCTCCCCAGGAACCACCCCTGCCTTATAAAATGTCCAAGCTAACTCCTGTAGACCTGGGAGCCTCGGGGGACCACCGGGATGCAGGTGCCCTTCCCGCCTCCTTGCTTCTGCAGCCGGGGGCCTTGCCGTAGCTCTCCCGCCACCTTTTCTCCTACCCTGCGTTCTCAGAGTGAAGCTTTGTCTCATCTTCCTCAGGAGGGTCCAGGCACGCCGGGCACCTTGCAGGCCGTGGTGAAGTGAGGAAGGCTGTTACTGAATTGAGTCGATCCCGACTTACTCCAGGAATATCACAAAGATGTTGATCTCTGACCCTGATGCTCAGAAGTTCTCAGGACTAGCATTTGGGGGCCCGTGAGTTTTCCCACAATGGCTTGGGGTTCTGCACAAAACACAGAGGTGGGGGCAGAGAACTAAACCCACGTGCTGGCAGCTAGCCCACTCTCATCTGTGCTTCCATCCCAGAAGCTCGGTTTGCTTCTCTGATGGGAAACTTACCAGGTTCCTGCACTCTGGGGCTACTCCTCTCCCAGAGACCAGGGTGGCTCTGGCCGGGTGTTATTGTAGCCATAGGTGCAGAGGTGGCAGGCCCGGGCTGGCTTAAGCACCCTGCTCTCTGCTCCACACCCAGCCGCTGCTGAGGTCCTGGCCCTCAGACCCAGGGTTAGCCCAGGAATCCTATCAGGCTGTCCCAGGACCGTGGCCAGGGTGGTCCCAGCGTTCCTTGGACTCGTGTCTAGTACCAAACAAGGAGCTGTGGGACCCTGCTTCAATGTCTGGGTGGCCTCTCTGTGATCTCCATCTCAGCCATCCTTCTACAGGAGGGGTGAGGCTGCTACCGGGTGGAGGAGCTCTCTGAGGCTAAAATCAGGTCCTAGATGTGACAGAGAGTGCCTGGTGCCAGGGCTAAGTGTAGCCCAGAGGCCAGTAGGAACAGCGACTTCTATCCTGCTGAGGGCCCCGGCTCAGACCAGCTCTCTATGCAAAGCCCCACTTGACTTCCCGTGTGCATGTCAACAGCCTGACCTGCCCATGACTGCGGCATGGCAGTCACCCCCCTGACACACCCCTCATGGTGAAGCCAACTTCTCTGGAAGCTTGGCCCAGTCTGCTCAAGGACAGGGTACTGAGGAGAAATGAAGGGCCTGTCTTCTGTGTCCACAGAAGGAAGCTGGGGCCACAGAGTTTTTTTCTCTCCCTGTTACCCACTGTCCTGTGTTCCCATATTCAGCAATAGTTTTACCCTGATAGATGCAAGGTGAGCTTCCAGAACTTGGCAGGAAGGTGGCCTATTCCCCTGCATGGAGAGAAATGTATCTGTGTTAACGAATGTGGGTGATATGAAGACATTCATGTAGTCCATCAACTTTTAAAGAACAGAGGTTGGCCCCCGTTTGGGGAAAGAAGAATATTACAGAGCTATTCCAAGTGTTTTCTAGAGGTTTTATATTTATATTTTTAGTAATCTTCTGGTAGAAGGAAACTACACAATAAAATGATTTGGTTTGGTTTTGCTGGTTTGGTTTTTTGCTCCTGACTGATGCAGGGTGGTTGGTTTTTCTGAAGGCTGCCTTATTGAGCGGAGAGCATTGGCCTTTTGCTTTGTGAGCCTGGAAGAGTGAGACGTGAGGATGATGGGCACTGATGACAGATCTCCAGCATGAGACCTTGGGAGGAAATGATCTCTCGGGATGTGCTCTCACACGTTCCTCTAACTGGCTGGCTGCTGTGGAAGTGTCCCTCTTCCAACCAGACCTACGTCTGGTTCAGGGCATCAATGTCACGTGCAAAGGTGCAACCTTCCCCCTCAGAAGGAAGCAGGGAGGAAATGCGAGTGACCACCAGAGCGTCCACCTGGGGTCCATAGCCCTCTCCCATCAAGGAGGGGACAGAGCTAGGTGTGCACACAGGCACTCTTCAGAGAGGGATCAGAGCTGCCATCAGATTCGGAGTCATTAGCAATGTTGGGAAAAAACTCGAAGCTGCTGATGTAGGCACTAACCCCAGACTGGGGCAACCCAGATGCTCCTTACTGAGACAGCATGGCTTGGGGCAGCGGTGGCCGGAAGCCCCTTTAACCCCCTTGCTGCCCCTGGTTGGTGTCAGACCAGGAGACCCAGAGGACCCCCAGCTGAGAGTTGGCCAGACCTTTGACCTCCTCAAAAGGGACAAAGTAAAGAAGAGACAGGAAGGGGAAGGAAAAGAAGCCACACACATTTCTAAAGGGGGAAGGATGGGCCCTTTCTGCCCAGCCCTATCATTCGCCCCCACGATGTGCCAGGGGTCCCTCCCTGGGGACATCAGAAACGTCTCAGGCATGAGGCTGTCTCCAGCCTTTTCTGCATTGAATTCCACTCCTGCACTTCCTTTGTCAGAGGACGAGCACGAAGACCACGGGCACTCACACTGCTCGCTCGCTCTGGAGTGGGGAGCAGCGTGTTGTTCTGGGAAAGCAGGAGTAACACAAAACCCAATCCAGCATATCCCATGCCTGGGAAAAGGCATTGAAAGTACTTACAATAGCAACTTCTTCCTTTAAGCTAAGTCCAGTGACTATTCTTTGGGTGACCTCTCCCGTTGGATGGCTTCAGGATCAACTTCTGCAGTCATTCAGGTGTGAAATGTGCCTTTCGTATGCTTTTCTTTCCCACTATTATGCAAAGGAGTTATTTTTGGCTGAGATCAAATATGAAAAACTATAATGTAAAAATTAAAAACTTCTGAGGAAATTTTTAAGTGTGAAGAAGGATGTGAATATGTCACATTTTTTAATGCTGTGCTCTGAGCCTTTGGTCTAGAAGCTGGGATACAAAGATGCATGTATTCAGACAACATATCCAAGCCTGTCTGTGAGCTGAGCGCTGTCTGGGGCACAGTGGTAACACTGGTGAAGAGACACCTGGTTCTGTCTCTCACTATGCCCACGATGGGTGAGGACACCACGGAACCTGCCTTCCTGTTATGCTAACAGGCTATGTTAGCGTAGCCTGTTATGCAATGAAGTACCAAATTGGGGGGGGGGGCGAGTAATTTCAACTGAGTGTTTTTCAAACTCTGAGCTTAATCTGCCTATAGTGGTTGCTGAAGGAAACGAACAAATCAGAGGTCATCAGGAAGCCCACTTCATTCCTAAGGTCTGTGCCTGTGCTGGTGAGGAACCCCAGCTGGGATTCAGAATGTATGGAATTAGCTAGTCTGGGGCTGCACCTCAGATACTACTCCAAGCTCAGAGAATTCCTTCCTGGTCAGTTTGCTCTCGGACATCTTCCGAATCCCTTTGAAGTCTGTGAATCCTGGGAGTATTCTAGAACCGTCTGTGCTTCAACTGCCTGTCCCCTCTCTACCCACATCTCCACCACCGCAGGGCTCCCCAGATCAGCCTGCCAGCCGCTGGTTACGCCTCCTTGCCTTTGAGACTTTGGCCTTCGGGGTCCCCTGGGCTTCACTCAGCATTGCCCCTGCCAGCCAACCGCTGGGTTTGAGGTGCCCGATCTGGAGCCCCCACTGTGTCTCCCCTCTGAGTGGGAACTAAGTAATTAAGTAATTAACTAAGTAATTAAGTCCACACAAAGAAATGCAGCTCTCCTAGATGAAGCCCCACCTAACCCCGAACAGCTTGCAGACAACATTCAGTGTCTTTCCTCTCTCCCAAGGAAATCCACTCTGGAAACCTTCATTTCAGTTGTCCAGAGAACGCATCTTCAAGGACTTTGCCCCTCCAGGGTGCCCTCCTCCCTGCCGCTGTTTGCACTGGGTCGCACGATGAAAGCCCGGAGTCCCCTCCATGACTTACCACTAATGAGAAAATTCCTCCACGTTCGTATCTAGGGCCCGACCCGTGGAAACACAAATCCTCTTTGTGTCCAGCTTATCTCCAGCTGCTGCCATGATAAATAGTCCAGCTCGAGGGAGCCCAGGGAAGCTCTACCCCACGGAACGAATCACTTGGTTACTGACCATACAGGGAAGCCAGCTTGAGGAAATATTTAAGGACAAACTCAGACACCAGGCTACTTTCTCCCTCGTGGGAGGTGCCTGAGGAATCTGTCCTTTTCGGAGCAGGAAACGCTGCCAGTTTCTCTCTCTTGGAAAAGACAAAAAAAAAAAAAAAGGAAAAAGAAGAAAATCCCCCAAAGCAAAAGGCAGTCTCCCAACAAACTGCAACTTTTGTTTTGCGTTTTACTGTTTAACGAGTCAGTGGTTTCCAGTGCCATCTGCTTGGCCACCTTCTTCCTTAGAGCAGCAGTCCCCAACCTTTTTGGCACCAGGGACTGGTTTCGTGGAAGACAATTTTTCCACGGACCGGCGGCGGGTGGGGGATGGTTTGGGGATGATTCAAGCGCATCACGCATGTTTTCTCTTGTCCGCCATCCTACGTGCGGTTGGATTTACTCCTCACCATGTCTTCTCACAAGACTTTCAGGAATAAATGGCCAGAAATAAATAAGACTTGCTGGTAGTAGTAATGGTCCAGGTATGTTAGATTTTTAGACTGAGGCGCTTGATAGAAACTTATTAGAAAAATAGGTGTGGGTCAACGCTTGTCTAATTGTTTTTAATCTATTTCCTTCTAACACATTCCTCCTATTCAGTGGTTTTTAAACAGCCATGCAGTTTTCGTCTGGACGAGCCTGATTTTGATATTCCATTTATCCCAACTGAAGCCTGGCTAAATGGACTAAAGGGTTAAAAGGCCCACATTACCTTTTTACTCTTTCTCTGCTAGAGAAATTTCATCTCTGCTCTGCTTAACAAATCAGTGGTTAAGCAGTTTTTAGTGGTTTGGGGTTTTGTTTCTGTGCATGTGCTGTTTTTTGTTTTTTGTTTTTTGTTTTTGGTCTTCTGTAGCTTTCAGACTAATGAAGTAAACACTGTCAAGTGACTTTCTTCTGGCCAAGAGAAAAAAAGTGCACTTTATTTCTATTATTATTACATTGTAATATATAATGAAATAATTCTACAACTCACCGTAATGCAGAATCGGTGGGAGCCCTGAGCTTGTTTTCACCTGCCACTCACTGATAGGTTGTGATATGAGTCTGCAAGCAATTGGTTCATTATGGTCTCTGTGCAGGCAAACCTCTCTGCTAATGATAATCTGTATTTGCAGCCACTCCCCGGTGCTAGCATCACCGCCTCGGCTCCACCTCAGATCATCAGGCATTAGATTCTCATAAGGAGTGCACAACCTAGATCCCTCGCATGCGCAGTTCACAGTAGGGTTCGCGCTCTTATGAGAATCTAATGCCGCGGCTGATCTGACAGGAGGCGGAGCTCAGGCAGTAATGCGAGCCTTGGGGAGCGGCTGTAAATACAGATGAAGCTTCGCGCTGGCTCACCCGCCACTTACCTCCTGCTGTGCGGCCCGGTTCCTAACAGACCAAGGACTGGTACCAAGCTGTGGCCCGGGGGTTGGGGACCTCTGCCTTAGAGCACCCTCCGTGTTTGCCGCCAGTAGCATCTCTACACTCCTGTTTATTACAAAACTCCCGCCGGTTTGGTCTGGTGTGTAAGCACGGCCAAGTGTCCAGCCTGCTTCGTGGGCTAACTCATGGCAACTTACAGCATCTCCCTATGGCTACCATGGGGTGGCTCTGGTTAGTCCAGGCCACTATGGCAGCAAAGGGGCAGCCCGGCCTTTGAGATGGAGGGACTGGAACTCCATCAGCCCTGCAGCTTCAGCCAGTGGATGTGCTCCCTCTGCATCCTGAGCCCACAATGGATGGTCCCAGGTGCTGGACAGGAAAACCCAGAACAAGCTTGTACTACCTTCTGGTCAGTCTCTGGGTATCTGGTAAGTTGTGTTTGTCAAACTTCCTTGCTCAGTTTAAGTCCTGGGTCCTCTGAGTCAAGAACTGTCAGAAGGTCTTTGCAGCAGACCTGGTAAATTCCCTGTAGGCTGGGCCAAGGTGTGACATTTCTAGGAACTGAGTCTTCTGCAGAGGTTGCAAAGGCCTTGTGGAAGGTGATCCCACGTGTCATAAAGCTGAAGGAGGAGGCTGTGCCCATGGTCAGCAGCCCTGCCCATGCCTCTCCCCACGTCCCACTCATTCATCCATCAGCAGTTATGTAGGTAGTATAGATTGTCACGAGGCTGGGGACTCTTCTGGGAAACGCGTGGGGGAGGGGGAGCCGGGCTGTCTGTGCTCAGGACCGTCCACAGTCCTGCCCAGCGGACCTTGCCAGCTTCATCTGCTACCACTGCCTCTATGTCCCAGTACCCCACCACCCCAAACTGCTTAGAATTACCTCCACATCTTTGTTCAAGAATGTCCATCGGCCCCATCACCCCCACCTTCCTTCTCTTTCCTGTGACTCTTCCAGGCTATCCTAGTTCATCCTTCAGATTTCAGCTCAGGCATCCCTTCCTCTGGGGTCCCTGCCCAGACACCACCCCCAGCCCATCCTCTGCGCCTGGGTGGCACCCTGTGCGTTCCTCCGTGCTGGCACCTGCCATGTGACATAGGAAGTATCAAGAGCTGCTTCCTGTTGTCTCTCCCACAAGTCTCTG